AGAATAGAATGAAAAGAAGCCATGAAAATGAGCTAAAATTTTAATATTTCAAATAGTAAAAATAATGTTTACTGAACATATATAAGCACTATTCTAAACATCTTACAAGTATGAAGTCATATAATCTTCACAATAAGATTGTGAGGTAGGTACTATTATTATCCCCATTTTTACTTATGAGAAAACTGAGGCCTAGAGAGTTGAAGAAAATTGCTCAAAGTCAGAAATCCAGGAAGTAGGAGAGCCAGGATTCAAACCCAGGCAGTCTCGCTTCAAAATCTATGCTGTTAACCACAAACACTAAACTGTCCTGAATGGAAAGGAGTCAATAGATGCTGTCTAAAACACCACGAAATAGAAGAATAAACACATTATCTAATGATAAATTTGAAACCACTTGAAAAATAGAAACCAACAACTAGTGTTAAGTAGTATCTCTATCTGTGGGACTCAAGAACAGCTGGGAGTGGAGAAGAGTAAATACAAATTTACTTTTTATTTTAGAAACTTCTGAGTAGCTTGGAAGTGCTTTGCTATGCACAAAAAAAAATTAATTTAATGCTTTTAAGTGCATTCAAAAAATAGGAAAGAAATATACCAAAATGGTAATTGTTTTCTATGGGTGGGTCAGGGCAGGAAGCTATGGGTAATTTTTTTCTCCTTTTTTTTCAACCTGTATGTGTTTTCCATATTTCCTGAAGTTGCTTTTATCTTCCAAACAGTGGAACAAATTTAAAATCTCAATGTGTAGGCCACATTGTCAGAAACAGTAGTGCTTGTTAATACATGTATTGAAAACAACTGGCACAGCAGAGGTTGGAGGTTGTCCTGGGACCCTTTTGAGACATTTTGCTCAATGAAAAATGCCTTACCATAGATTGGCCCTCCAAAATCAATATGGATTCTTATCTAAGTCTTCCTGATCCCTTTGTTTTCCCATCCCCCCAACCCCTGCCATGGAAAAGTAGATAGGTGCCTTAACCAGTTATGTCAAGGAGCTTGTCACACGCTATACTCTTTTACAGTCTTAAATATCAGAATTAATTCCAGTACATCAGAAATGGCTTCTATCTGAGGCTTTCATGCAAACAGATCTCAGATACGCTACATTTAGCATGGCCAAGATAACAAGAAAACTGCCTTCTTGAAAAACGCTGCAATTCCTCCATAGAAGGCATTCTTTATGGACAGATAACTCATCTTGACAGCTCTGATGGGCTTAAATTCCTTGGGAAGTTCTCTTATGGATACCCCATCTTGATTCACTTCAAGACCCAGGCTAATCTGAGTTCCCTTGCAGTTAATTGTGCAATTTGATCAGCCTAAAGATGTAAATCTGAGAGATCTTTCAGCATCAAAATTTCCAACAGAGGTGACTCAATATAACCTAGAATTTTCGGGGGAAGACAATTCAGGATACCAGCACTCAATGGTTATGGTCTTAGAACTCAAGGGACTCCCTCGTTATCTACCTATCTCCTCCTGATTTGAAAAGTAATCCTCAGAGAGATTTGAGAATAGTACAAATAGTAAAGACCAGGGGTGGGGAACATTTTCATGTTAGAAGGCCACATTAATTTAGCTGTAATCAAGTAAAGCCACATTCAAAAACCTTCAATTAGATATACCTAAAAATGTACATTATTTTGTAAAGTCTATCTACTATGTACTTAATAATTTCAAAAAATGAAAAAAGTTTGTTAATTTTAAAGTAAACTAACCTTTTAATGACTTTGTTGTGTCTGCTTTTTGTTAAAAAGCATTTGAATATTTGGTTGCAGCATGGAGGTCTGCAGTTTCAGTTGATCCTCCAGATGGGAATCAGTCATTTGTGACCTGAACGGTGTCTTGATTTGGGTTAGGTAGGGGAATGTAGATTCACAGTAATAAGTGGTTGAAAACCAAGAAAGCATTTTTCGGCCATGTTGTTGAAGGAGTGGGTATTATACTGCATTATTCCATATTTCAATTGAATCTTTCTTAGCAGCAAACAATGACTTTAAAATCTCATCTACTGAGAGCTCCATCAATTCTATCTGTAGTTCTTTAGATGCCTTGGTGATATCGACTGGGTGAGGCTGAAATGCTAATTTGAGTGTGATGTCATGATTCCCAAAGTCAGTGAACCTTTCATTGTATTCTCCAAATAGGTCTATAACTGTTGCATATTCTTCAAATGATTCTCATATATCATCCTGCTCATCAATGATCTTTGCTAACTTGGGAAAATGTTCATCTGAAATTTTCTTTTGAAGAATTGTTTTGAAAAAAGATAGCTTTGTTCGAAATGCTTGGATTTTTTTTTGCTGCATTTCATATATAGACTTACTTTTACCTTGCAAAGATATATTCAAGTTGTTTTGATTTGACATAATATCACACAGAAATGTTGCATTCCTACAGAAATCTTCTTTCAATAATTCACATTGCTGATTTTGTTCTTCATAAAATTTTACTGTCTGTTCTTGCAGAGATAAAATTTTGGCTAACACCTGTCCCTGTGATAGCCAATGCATTTTAGAATGATACAGCAAATCCACACTGAATACTTCATCATTCAACCTTAGCATGTTACGAAAGTCACAATGCCTTGTTGCATTTGAATGAATATAGTTAAGAATACTTATAGCTTGTTGCAAAATATCACTTAAAGCAGTAGCTTTAGCACAGAGATTTTGCTGATGAAAGATACAATGAAAAGAAATGAAAGCATCTGGATCTGTTAATACTTTTTTTATCTGTGCAATAAACCCTTTATGTTTTTCTGTGAGGGAAGGTACACGGTGTGTACATAGACTCACTAAATTTACCAAATTCGGCCCAACTTCATGATATTTACCTTGAAAGTTGTTGAACATATCTATTCCCTGTGTTCTGTTTGCAAGAGTGCCCAAAGTGAGTAACTCTTTGTAGCAAAGAAAATCTTCTGTTGTGACCCAAATGAAGTATAAAACCCGCACTGAGTCAGTAGTATCAGTTGATTCAACCAAAGTGATTGAATAATAAATATTTTCCTTTTGAAGTATTACATGAAATTGTTCTGTTAACTTGAAGGCTAATTCATGCTGCGGATCAGTTATGGTTCTCCTTCAAAGAGGCAGTTGTTTGTACTTTGAAATGTTATCGGGGTGTAAACATCCTACAACTCTGACAGTGCATTCTTTTGCAATTTCTATATCACTGGATGGCTTCCCCTTTTTCCCGAGTATATAAGCTACTTTATAAGTTGCTTCAGTGGCATTATTTCCAGGTCTTATTGCTGCTTGAAAGAATTGTCTTTGCTTTTGTTTTTCATCTTTTAATTTCTTTAAATCAACCTTTCATGCCTTTCCCTCTAGTTTAAAATATTTGTGGTCCTTATGAGTGTTACAATGCTGATGAGCATTGAATTTCTTCAATGTTGATATTGCAGTATCATGAAGCAAGCAAATCATCTTATCTTTAGCAGAAACAAGATAATATTGCAATTCCCAATCCTCATTAAAATATCTGTTTTCTTCCTTTAGCATTCTCTTGGTCTTCTTTGACATGAAGGGCTGTTAAGCAGACAGAATTAAAAAATACTGTGTAGCTGAGCAACTATTCACAAATTCCACTTCAAACAGAAACACTGTACCATTTTCAAAAGCTGATAACAGACTGACATACTCGACCCCCATAAGCTCTCACCAACCAGCCTCATGTGGTAGTGGCATCAGTCAGGCGGGGGAAGTTAGAACTAAATCATGAGCATAGCGGC